TATACATCTACCATTAAGGAAGTACCAGAAGTGTTGCCATGGCAAGACAGGTAGCTTTGATCCTATCCTGTTCAGAATTTTTATGTTCCTGCCTCATCCACCATGTACATCCCAAGTGTGGACAGTTAGCAGAGTGACAGCATTTGATTCCATGGTAGTGGTACCTATACCTGAAGGAGTTCCAGGAGCTGTCACAGCTGGAGAATGCTGGATATGGACCTCCTGGTCTCCAGATTCAAACACTGCACTGGTTTGTCTCCAGGTACAGGGATCCTCTGACACAGGGGTCTACAAACTGTGTCCCCCTTCAAGACTGTATCTGGTTTGCAGCTGATGTGCACAGTCTTTACTTCCCATCCTTCCCCCTGCCGTGCCATGTCCTTGGTTGCTATAAAAAAGTTCCCTCTTTCTGTAGGGGTTCCTCAAGGTTCTGTCCTTGGACCCCTTCTCTTCTCCATCTACACCTCCTCCCTTGGTCACTTGATAAACTCCCATGGCTTTAAGTACCATCTCTATGCTGATGACACACAAATCTATCTTTCTACCCCTCACCTCACCCATTCTGTCTCCTCTCGCATTACTAACCTACTAAGTGATATATTGGCATGGATGTCACTCCACTTCCTCAAACTCAATCTTTCCAAAACTGAGCTCTTAGTATTCCCCCCAGCCTGTGTCCCCTCCCCAGACTTATCCATCAAGATCAATAACACAATCATCAGTCCCTCCCCTCATGCCAGGGTGCTAGGTGTAATCCTAGACTCCCATGTGTCCTTTCAGCCCCAAATCCAATCACTGTCCAAATCTTGTAGACTTCACCTCCGCAACATTTCCAAGATACGGCCGTTCCTAACCTCTGAAACCACTAAGCAACTTATTCACTCCCTTGTTATATCTCGCCTTGACTATTATAACTCCCTCCTCATTGGCCTACCTAATCGCAGGCTATCCCCTCTTCAGTCCATCATGAATGCTGCTGCCAGACTTATCCACCTTACTAACCTTTCTGTATCTTCCACCCCTCTCTGCCAATACCTCCACTGGCTTCCCATTGCCCAACGGATAAAATTCAAAACATTAACAATAACATATAAAGCCATTTATAACTCTGCCCCAAATTACATCACCGATCTTGTCTCCAAATACCACCCAAACCGTACTCTCCGCTCCTCGCATGACCTCCTACTCTCTAGCTCCCTTGTCTCCTCCTCCCATGCTCGTCTTCAGAACTTCTCCAGAGCTTCCCCATCCTCTGGAACTCTCTACCCCAATTTATCAGACTATCGCCTACTCTGCTCACTTTTAGGCGATCTCTGAAAACCTATCTCTGCAGTGAAGCCTATCCTGTCCTCAGCTAATAATGGAATCTTCTACTCTTCCAACCAGTCTATCCCCCACAGTTACTACCTTTTGTACCACTAGCCCCTCCCTCCTAGATTGTAAGCTCCAAGGAGCAGGGCCCTCCTATCCCTCTTGTATTGAACTGTATTGTTGCTGTATTGTCTCCCGTTATATTGTAAAGCGCTGAGCAAACTGTTGGCGCTATATACATCCTGTATAATAATAATCATAGAACATGTTTGCCCCAGCATTTATAGGAGGACAGAACATTCTTCATCTAGACTTGCTTTGCTTCCTAGCTCCTGCTCTGCTCTTACAAAGCTAAAGCCACTCTGTAAGCCTTGTTACAGAGGTAAGAGGGTCAATGATGGGGAGTCTGATATGAAGGTGAACCCTGATGATAAGGGGTGGGGGGGGGCTCTGATGAGGAGTCTGATCTAAGTAGGACCTTATGAGGGACTCATAAGAACATGTTGTTATGAATAATATCATGTTGATTACAAAGAAAGATCCATCTAAAACCTAGTCATTCTTTTAAAATGTATTCATTTATTTATAAAACTGATTATTTTTCCACCGGTGAATATATGTAAAATATATGTTGTAGCCCTCATACTGAAAAGTTTGGAGACCCTTGCACTAGAAGCGAATGCTCTGGCATCTCTAAGGGATCAATACATCTGGTCCATGCCTATCCACATATTTGAACCCAAAAGCAAAAATGTAATATGTTGCAGCTTACCAGTCTCTGGATTTGGTGGCTGCATTAGTTTTTCTTTTTCAGGCTTTTTTAACTTTATTTTCCTCTGGTGATCTTGCGAATAACACACTTTCTGTCCCTGCACTCACTCCTCTATCTTTGGAGGCAACCATGGTTGTCACATAGGCAACACTCTAAACATGTCTGCCTTTGTTAATCTCCATTACATAAGGGTGTAGAGCTTAGTGGTTTACAGAAAAAAAATATGATTGTTTTTGCTTCCTGTTCAGGTTATAGTAGAAAAAGAATTCCTGATTATAAACCACCATCCCCAAAATGTTATGCAGATTTGAGAAAAAAAAATCCTGATTCAGTGGAACTTTTAAGGCATTAATACATATAGTTAAAAATATATGACATTTTTATTTTCCATAAAATGTGTAAAAATTTCCACACATAATACATGTAATAACAGCTGTGTCTGAAAGTCATATATATTGTTACATCACCATCATGAGATATTTGTTAGTTACAGAATTTGTCTTATAATAAACTGACGCATTTCGGAGTAATTCTACTCCTTACTCAAGGAAAAGATTCTGCACAGAGGTGATATAATCTGTAAGATTAAAAGTGCATTTATTTAGAACATATAATATGTATCCTTATAATGCATTAACATAATTTCAAGTATACAATGCTCACAACGTGAGAAGGTAGGAAACAGAGAAGTAAATCTTCAGCCAAGCTTAAAAACAAAGTCAAAGTTTGCTGCTACTCCCCAGCCCGCATCTTGGCATGCCTCAAATACCCGGGGCCCTCCCAATCAGAACGCAGAGACCACGCAAATCATTCCAAGAGAGGATTTAGTAGTAAAGGACATCTCCAAAAGGTATTAAAGCAAAAAAGAGAAACATTACATCACATAAGGGGTGGACCCACCATTATAGTTGTGAACATCTATGTATTTCCAGAAATACTTCACCTATACAGGTGAGCAAAGGGGCATATGAGCAAGGGTCTTCAAAATATGTACCAGATCAAGCCACATAGACCTTAAAGATAACATTAATAGAAAACCACATAAATACATTATATCAATACATGTATCATTAGGCCAATGATAAAGAGGAAAAATGGGTCCAAAACCCCTGTTTAGGTTGTAGGAAGTGACAAGGATGCTACATTTCTGGCAAGAGCAACAGGTATGTTCTGTACTTTCTGAAAATGTTCTATGCCTAAAAAAAAGTCAACCAATGCAACCAACCACATCTAATAACTGATAAGTTGCAGGATATTATGTTTTTGTGCTTGCATTTAGCTATCCTTTGGGTAATTGATAGTATAGGATCCCCCATTTATCTCCTTTGGTCAGCTGGTTGTCTTTATCCCGTTGAGAAGATTGCCTGTAGACATTCTTTCGCTTTTGTTTCTGGAGGCATTTGCCATAGGTGTGAGCCTGTGCTATCTACTGGTTGTAATGGTGTAGTACAAACATGCCTCATTGCTCACTAGCAGATTCAAATTCTGCTCTGTGCACTGGGATTGATCATGTCCATCTTTGTGAGCTTCATGTTCCTATTCTGTGAATCCTGTCTGCTATTACACACCCGTTAGCTGCCTGCTTTTACCTTCTGCCACTTGTGCTGACCTGTGCAAGGTTTGTGGATTGCACCCTTGCATAACAATTCAAACTTATCTTCAGTTGCTTATTAGCTGTTGTCAGTTGGCCAAATTTAACTTTAACAATTTTACTTTGACCTGGGATGTCACCTTTCAAGGTCTCCTAATGAAGGCACTCCTTAGCCTCTGCTCCTTGGGAAGCTCTACAAATACCATTGACACAGAGAATGCACACAGATCTGTGAAATAAAGAACTCAGAGGTCTTATTAAGTGCTGAGATAACTGCACGTCATTTTTTTTTTCGTGCCAATAATGTTGTTCTAGTTCAGGAACCTGTGGCAACCAACCCAAATTCAACTTTCATTATCAAATAATTCAAAAAGTATATTTGGTTGCTATAAGTTTTTGAACTTATTGTCGTTTGTCTTACTGAGTGATCCCTATGATGCCTAGCTGTGATTTACTTATAATCCCTAAAATCTTTTATCGTAGGCACATAATGAAAGAACAATAACTATTGTGGCAGACTAGTCTTTTTAAAAGCTCATATCTTCACTATAAACCAAGATGAGTCCATCACACACATGAATAAAAGACTTTCACTAGTCTGGTGTGTTTACTTTTGCTTTGCATTCAAGAGAAAGCCAGTAGCTTACTCTGCCTCTTTGTATACACATGGCATTAAGAGCTTTGTTGTGCCTGTGTTGCCTCATTACTAGAAGCTGTTGGAATCACATGAGCCTTTCAGTGTATGCAAATAAGGCCAAATCATCTGCCTGCAAGTTAATATTCCCACTTTTGAAGTGCATTGTAAATGTAATGTTTGTGTTTAGAACATAACATCCTTTTCCCTTTGAATATAGATGTATAGGTGTATGGACAGGAAGCTAAGCAGTCCGAGGCAGCTGTTAGATGCTGGCTTTGAGTGTTATTAATTTCACATGCTATTCTTCTTTTCTCTGTAGCACAAGTGAAGCTGATGTGGAGGCTGTCATGGATAAGTTGTTTGATGAGCTGGCTCAGAAACAAAATGATGGTACGTAAGTTAATTTCTCTTGAAAAAGAACGCATTTAAAACACAATGCCCAATCTCCACTGACCAATTAATAAGTTCCATTGCTGTCTATGGGTTGATGCCACACTCAAGTGGCAGTCATTGTATCAGCATTTTGTCTAATTTATGTGTTGAATCATGTGCTATTATTCATCAAGCTTTGCATTTCCTAGCTGTAAGGGATGAATTTTAGGGTAATTATCCAGACAAGACTGAGCTTTTGTTCCTGTTTCCATAGTAACAAGACCAAGGATTCTGAAAGTGCAGGGCAGGGAGCTGAAGCTGAGCAAAGCCTGTGGATCCATTGCTGACTGCACATTTGAGGAACTCTGTGACCGTGTAAGTGCCCAGCAACTATAAACAAGTTAACACCCCCTCTGTTTTTCCGAGAGTTTTGTTTTTGCATTCTTCGACCATGTTTTTCTTAAACAGTGAACAAAAGCCTATTTTCAAGCAGCAGCACGCCCACATTGTTCTCTGCACAGTACAATTATTGTATGTGAATCTCCTGTTTTAATGTTATTAGTACAAAACTACACTTTTCTCCACTGACTTCAGTAAAGGGCCATTAACATGAAACAAAATGGCAAAGTTGAAATTATTTTCTAGGAAAAAACTGTTTATTGGAACATTTAAAGAGATCTTGACTTCAATATTTAAAGTATGAGAAAGAACTGTGTTGGTAAGGTTTACGTCCTTGCAAGAATACCAGAATGTGCTTTCTTCCTAAGAACACAGCAATGGTACATCCCCTTAGAGAAAGGGTAGGAGTTTTTATACACACACGCACACACAACTCTACCTTCCAAAGTCCACCCATCTTCCTGTCACACACACACCTATTTTTCAGCCAGACCCTATTTTTGTGTCTTCTCCTATTCCCTCTCCTTTCTACTTATTTTGTTATCTTTAGCCCACCTTTCCTTGTTTTACATTCACTGGTTCCTTCCATATCAAAGCAAAAAAGAGAGCAGGAATTTAATCTAATTATACTTACAACACAATAGTTGTTCCTGTCCTGCGAAACATCTTGTCACATCAGAAAAATTGGTTTCCTGCGCCTTTGGTGCCATGTACATTATAAATGAAAAACACATTTCTTTTTTGTTCATTAAGGATTGGGGATTCTGAGACAATTGGATTATACTGGATTACACCTACATGTGGATTTGGACACTGGAAAACAAAACACAATGGCCAGACTTGTATAAACCCTCCCAATCCCAGCATGCTTAATTTGTTGCTTGTGCTCTATAAGGATAGATGTCTTTTCTATACCATCTTGCTCTGAAGTGTGGCTCAGCCATCTGTTTTGTCTTCTGCACCCTGAGTGTTCACCAAGGTACTCATTGCTGTGCTAGCCTTTGGACGGCAGCATTGTTAGTCTGGAGGAAAGGGAATGTTAGACACACACTAGCAGATTTAATACAATAACAAATTGAAACCAAACTGCTGATAAGGCTTGGTTCACATGTGTGCGACCTGCATTCTGCAGGTAAATTCTGCGCATTTTGCGGCAGAAAAGCAGGGAAAGAGGTCCCTGGTCCTTTTTTAAAATTGTGCCACACGAAACCACATGGTGCTTCTGCACCATGCAATTAAGCGCACAAAACACAGATGTTTTGCCGATGTACTGGGGGTGCCATTAGGAATTAATGGTCCCCCCAGGTATCTGCTAAAGAACAGCACGTTTCTCTATTGTGTCGGGAATGCACTCAATTGTGTGCGCGTTCCTGACACACAGCCTCACAGTGAGGCTCTTTCTGTCCATACATCAGCATCAGAGGTTGGTCATCAGCTCCGAGGAAAGGGATTCGTCCCCGAAACGCGTCAGTGTTTTGACCGCACTGACAGTGAGAACACCTTGCCCGCTGTTGTGGCCATTGTCATTTTTCTATGCTTTTTAGATACATGCTTCGTCTGTGAGTATGTTTTTATTATTTCATTCCTACAATAAACCTTGGATAATGCACTAGGTGTGTGCGCCACCTGTTTTCTCTCTATCTAATACTTTATAAGTAGTTACAGCAACAGTTTTTTCCCTTTTGGGATAAAGATTTACATAAATAAAAGCTGATCATTGTAAGCATCTCTGACAGTGTTAAATAGTTTGTCTGAACACTCTAATTGCTACATCTGCAGGACAGCTCATTTTGTTGAAAATCAACAGATTTACTGGCAGGATCACAGGTGAAAATAAAAGAAAGAAAGCTTAAAAAAGAAAACTAATGCAGTCATCACATTAAGAATTGGTAAGCTGCAATATAATCTTTGCTATTGGCTTTAATACTGCTTTAAAATAGTTAAGTGGGACAGTGAATCTTCAGATGTCAGTTATGGAACTGGCATATTGCTTGGAGTACCTGGGTCTTATCCTGGATACAATCAAGCCTTGGAAAACTTGTCACTCTCTACTACTAGACCTCTACAGGCCAAGAGCAGTCTGAATTAATGCAATTCTGCATGGGAGTTCTGTTCTTGATGGTAATGAGACAGTGCCTCTCTTCTTTTCCGGAATCCTACCACTCAACAGGACACATTAGTTCAGTCTGTAGACAAACAAATCCACCTGATCTGAAAGACAAAGTAATCTCTGGTCTGGTGGCTGAAGAATCCAGTTCTGGAATTAAAGAAAACCTTCCTTCTGATCTCTAGGAAAATTCATACAACAGATGCCAGTCAGTCACTCCTAGACCCCTTGTTAGTGTCAGAAATTTGAGTCCTAGAGGAATTCCATTTTGTGCACATGCTGGTGCTTCAAGCAGTTTGGTTCTCCATACAACACTGGACCTGCGGATAAACGGTCATTCGATCTGCATTAAGTCATACAACACCACTGCAATCACGTATACCAGTGTTTCTCAACCTTTTTACCTTCAAGGAACCCTTTGCAAAAAGTTTGAGATCTCGGGGGAACCCCTGAAAAAATATGTTCAGATCTACAGCTCACGGAAAATTAAGTCTGATCAGTGAGCTGTAGATGAAGCACATGGCTGGATGAGGAGGTGATATTCAGTATATGGCAACGCTGAATGCAGAGAGTGGGAGATTGTGGCTGGATGAGACTGAATGTAGGAGGAGGTGAGATCATAATAGCTTTATGTACCATACATTTATGGCATGATAACAAAAAGCTACTATCACCTCACATCCTCCTACATTCAGTGTGATCCAACTATGTGCTCCTACTTTATGAAGTCTGCATCACTGCTGTCATACACTGGATGTCACCTCCTGCCTCCTTTCTTCCCCTCCTCCAGCACTCTCACCTCCCATACAGATCTCACCTCCCATACAGCCACATGCTCTGGTGGCTCTCTGGTTCCTCCTCTCGCACTCTGTAATACTGCGGCTGTAACAGGATCTCGGCTCCTGATCCAGCCATGTGCTTCAGTGGCTAGCGGCTCTCTACCCTCCTCCCTCCACCACCCCTTGCACTCTCTGTCTCTGTAGCTATAGGATCTCACCTTCCAATGCAAGCCAAGTGCTTTTGCTCTGTGCTCTAAGCTGTCACAGAAAGCTGTCACCTCCTTCTTCAGCTCCCAAACTCTGCACTATTCCTGGCCCCGCCCTCTGACTTTATAGGGGCCAGAACTATAGAGAAGGCAATGGGTATCAATACACGCTGACACTACTGACTGTTCGCGCACACTGCAAACGACACTGGAAACTACATTAGGCGGTATACGTCTGCCATAATGTGGTTTCATGGCGGAAGCCCTGGGGACTTCTTGCGGAACCCTGGTTGAGAAACACTAATGTACACTATATTGCCAAAAGTATTGGGACGCCTGCCTTTTTAATGTACATGAACTTTTAATGGCATCCTAATCTTAGTCTGTAAGGTTCAATATTGAGTTGGCCCACCCTTTGTAGCTGTAACAGCTTCAGCTCAGGCCAGTCAAGTTCCTCTACCCCCAAACTTGCTCATCCATGTCTTTATGACCTTGCTTTGTGCACTGGTGCGCAGTCATGTTGGAACAGGAAGGGGCTATCCCCAAACTGTTCCCACAAAGTTGGGAGCATGAAATTGTCCAAAATGTCTTGGTATGCTGACGCCTAAGAGTTCCCTCACTGGAACTAAGGGGCCAAGCTCAACTCCTGAAAAACAACTCCACACCATAATCCCCCCTTGACCAACTTTACACTTGGCAAAATGCAGTCAGGCAAGTACCGTTCTCCTGGCAACTGTCAAACCCAGACACGTCCATCGGATTGCCAGATAGAGAATCGTGAGTCGTCACTCCAGAGAACACCTCTCCACTGTTCTAGAGTCCAGTGGCAGTGTGCTTTACACCACTGCATCCAACACCTTGCATTGCACTTGTAAGGCTTGGATGCAGCTGCTCGGCCATGGAAAACCATTCCATAAAGCTCTCTATGCATTGTTGCTGTGCTAATCTGAAGGCCACACAGAGCTTGGAGGTCTTTAGATAATAACTCTGCAGACAGTTGTAGAATTCTACACACTGTGCACTTCAGCATGCCCTGACCCACTCTGTCATATTATATGGCCTACCACTTCGTGGTTGAGTTGTTGTTCCCAGTTGCTTACACTTTGTTAAAATGCCAACAGTTTTCCGTGGAATACGATCCACGCTTGAATTCAATGAGCTCCTGAGAGCCACCCATTTCACAAATGTTTGTAGAAGCAGTTTGCATGCCTAGGTGCTTGATTCTATACATCTGTGGCCATGGAGGTGATTGGAGCACTTGAATCCAATGATTTGGAGGGGTGTCCCAATACTTTTGGCAATATAGTGTATATCAACCACTAGGGAAAAACCAGAAGTCTTGCCGTAGCAAGAGAAGTAGAAAGAGTTTTGTCCTGGACAAAACCTCAGATTCAAGGTAGACTTTCTCAGTTAGCAATGCCTGGTCCCTACATCCTGATTTGTTTTAGGACCTGTGTCACAAGTGGGGGACACCCAGATGTGGACCCCCTGGCTTCCAGGTTCAACAACCAACTCAGACAGTTTGGTTTCCAGGTGCCAAGATAAAATATCTTCCAAAAGTAGTGGATGTTCTGGTGGCTTTTTGGGATCAATAAAAACTGGTCTATGCTTTTGCCACTTGTAAACTCCTTTTTATCTGCTCTGCAGAATCGAGATGGAGGACAATTTGGGAATACTCACATGGGTTTTCCAGATAGACCGGATCTTCTATTCCAGGGACCTGTTTGCCACCCTGCTTTACTGTGGCTTTAATGGCATGGCTGTTCTGAGTCAGTAATTTCCATGCTGTTTAACCGCCTCCCACCCGCCATATAAGGTAATCATGGGCGCAAGGCGGTTCTCTCGTTCTGGGAGGACGTCATATGACGTCCTCCCACTCTAAAC